GGGGGGTTGGACAGGGGGTTCGCCGGCTTCGGATCCATCGAGGAGGTCGGCGTGGAGGGCATCGCCGGATAAATCGCGCGCCGGGCCTGGTAAAAGAAAAAAAAAAGGATGAGGGGGCGGGGGAAGGAAGAAGTGCCTGGCCTTGGGTTTGTCGCTTCGACTCGAAATGCGGGAAAGCTCACTAATCAGACGTAGAGGTGCCTGAAATAAGCTCTTGGGTTGTCAGAAATGTCCTTGATGACGGAGCTCTGATTCCCTAAACTACGGATGGAAGTGCCACGTAACAAATGAACGGATTAGGACTCTGAAGCAAAAGCACTGCGTGGTTGTCGCTCTCTGCCTTACAGCGAGTTGTGTATAGTAGTTCAGATTTACGAACTTCTCGCTGCGGTATATATGTATATAGTTGAGTGCAAAAGATTTTTTCGTTCGCCCTTCAAAGGGAAGAGGGGTATATTACTATCAACTTTGTGAATATCCTTGCTGGGGTATAAAACCGTGAAAGAACTTCACTAGATGGTATGTTACTCCTCTTTGCCTCAAACGCGACCGAGTGGAATATGTTTTCCTATGTTGATTTCTGAAAAGAAAGATCTACGTGATGAAATAAACACTAATATCGGTGATAATTGAAAACTATTAAGCTCGATAATAAATATTGCTGATGTGGACGTATTCAATAAAAAGAGAAAATGACGTTGATTCAACGTTGCGGGAAAAGTCAAAGGAAGAGAAGTAATTATGGTATTTGTAGACAGGATCACATTTCCTCTAGTATAAAGTGGCATAAGGGATGCAAAAAAAAGAGTTTGATTTGTGGACTTAAACCCTTTCCCGATGAGCGCCAAATGTAAAAAGAATAACTAACGTCCTGGAAGACGCAAGCAACTTGTAGATGCGGTTTATAAATAAAGGCTAAGACACCTTAACTTCCATAACGCAGGGAAGAAAGCAGCAAAACGAGTGCTTCAATCTCCAATTCACTTGTACACACGAAAAGAAAATACCCAGAACAGAACATGGGAAAAGAGGCCGAAAATATCAACTCTATTGACATCCTTCGACTCCTGCAAGTTGGACTACATATGGATGTGAATAGGAATTTTCCGCTACGTCATTTACATCCGCGTGTCTTCATCACAGACCCCATACGGAAGATGCATTACTACTCTCGCTGAGGAAGGGGAAGGGGCGAGAGGGGAGGGGATTATTCATTTACTTTTGGTGCTGCTCATGCGCTTTAGTCGTTGCGTTTACCTCCACTGTTGGTGCGGCGGTTGCCTCTCTGAGAGGAGGAAGAGGGATACTGGCCTTGGTGGTTTCGACCTCGCGAGGAATTGTGGAAATTTGAGCGTCGTCGCTGCTCCTGACGGTTGGACGGCGACGCGGGAAAGTAGCAGGCCTGATCAGCTGCGTCCGTGGAATTTTTAGAATCCCTCGACTCGGGAACCCGCTCTTTGGGAGCGGATTTCACCCTTCGAATATCCCGATGATTGGACGCATGATCATTCGTCACGTTCCCGCTCGAAGGCGTGGGAGGGGGGTGACGTGGGGAAAAAACGATCTCGTTCACGATTTCCCCCTCCGATACGGTCACCTTCATCGTCGTCGTCGTCGCCACAACCGGAGCGGAAGAATTTCGCCGTCCCTTCGGGTTTGTCGCGTCGCTGCTAGTCAAGATACTGTCAATGGCGCTCGTAAAAAGCACATGGCGGGTTCCCAGTTTCATCCCCACGGCGTCCTCGAGCTCCTCCAGGACCGGATCGAAATGCTCCCGAAGTCGGGTGATGTTGCCGCTCTGCATTTCCTTGAAAAACGGCCGACGGCCGTCGTCGGGGTCTCCCGAAGGGGCCGCGGACGCCCGCCACGACGAGGCGAATTGGGGGGCTGACAAAAGGGCCTGCGAGGCGGCCTCCGCCTTTTCACCCACGGATGGCGTCGACGAGGCGAGGCCGACGTCTTTCCGCGGGAAACCTTCTCCAACGGCCCCCTCGAGGCGGGCGTGCAACTCACGTGTGGTGGAAACCCCTGAGGCGGGCGTCGCGGGGATGCGATTTCGACGACGAATCCGCGCCATCCGCTCCTCCGCCCGCTCGAGCGCCGCCACCGCCGCGGGGTAATTTCCAAAAACAGCCTTCATCGCGACATCCCGAATCGGCGCTTTGTGGATTAAAAGGCGATTCACCGGCACGCCGGAGGTGGAGGTGGAGGCGGCGGCGGGGCCGTTCGGCTCGCGCGCATCCTCGCGTGGAAAGTACTGCTCCGCCAGCACCCTCGCCACCTCCGCCGGCGGCACCTGCAGGGCGTTGAGGATGTGTTTAAACGCCTGCCGCCCGCGATACGCGGGCGGGATGCGGAGGAGATGTTTGAGGGCGATCCCAG